GCTTCATGCGGAACTTAATATTTTTGTCAATATATAATTTTAAGATCGGTTCTAAATTTATAAGATTGTGTTCATTTTTGGTTTGGAACAATTTTCCATACGATTCTTTTGTGATTAGTGTATTGTTAAAATAATATTTAAAATCTTGAGAGGTTGAAATACGATTTGCATGCATAGTATGTTCTATGATTTATATTTTTCAATTCTTTTTTTATAATATGTGGATGGTTATAATTTCTATTTTGTAAAAAATTTCCTGTAAAAGTGAGGAATGACTTTAAAGTGTAACATCTAAATTGTTTATATTTAAATGTACATTATTTTTTAGTTACACTTAAATGATAGCAAAACTGATTTTTTATTTGGATATTATCATGGAACAGCCATGTAAATAACACTATTTTTTTGTTTGCTATTTAGATATGAATGAATATGTGATGTAATTATCATACATATGTTTATGATATGTATATTATGAGTGCGTAAAGAACAACAGTAATCAGTTCTTGGGGAATAAAATGCAACACTAACACATATCTCATCAAGCACCTATAAGAACCACACAGTGGAATGAGTTGGTTAGAAGAATCTTGAAGAAAAACCAATGAAAGGTGTGACCGAATCTTGTGATATAATTTGCAGTAACTACGTGGTTAGTGAGATCTTCAGTTTCTTCTTCTCCCACTTGGACTTTGTATAGTGTTTCATCAGTAGCCTAAGACAAACAAAAAACAAAAAAAAAACATGACACAATAATCTTTATGATTACACCAGGATTTCAAAGTATAATGCTTTTGGAATTAGTTGATCAAGCTAACTTGTTTCCTGCGTGACGTTTTCTGGAAATATGAAAAACATAAAAAGATATTTCAAAAAGAAGTGAGACCACTACCTTGCAACCACAGCTGTGGACGCACCGCACCTTTCATGACTGATGAGACGGAGGTACTTCATAAGAAGACGGATCATCTTATTCTGCAAAGGAGCCAAACGAAGTTTTACCTGGAACCAAATTTGGGTTAATCCTTGTGGTGACAATAACCATAGGATCCAGGCCAGCTTGTTTGGCTTGAATGTCAAACACATTGAGACTGCGTATCCATGCAGAGGTTTGATGGTAAGATAAGAAGCTCAAAAATTTTGTGATGAAAAGGGAAATATTGAAACATTTATGTGATGCTCAAAGAGGTACATGTCTGTGAATTTGAATGGTCGCCATTATTCGTTGAGTCACTTGGGTGTTGTTGTTGAATGTCGCTTTGACCTTCCCCAACGATATCTGAAAAGGAGAATTGATTATGGGAGACTACAATCCTATAAGGCAAAAGGTATAACTTTAATATAAATTAGATATTTGTTACCATATCAAAACAATTCATGAAAATACAACTATTTTACTTGGTTCACAATACTCAATATTCATGGATCATTTTTCCTTCTATATTTTTTTTCTTGAATTTAATAGATTTTTAATACATTTCTTTTAAAATTCTCTCATTTAAACATTTCGTAAAATGAAAACCTATTTATTATATATTTTTTAAGAAAAAGAAAGTAGCATGAAAATCTGATTTATATTGTTATTATGTTAATAGTTATAGATAACATGTTTGGTTAAATATTTATGTATTATTATATTTGTGAAAAATACATTTTAAGTTATATTTTTTTACATTTTTCAAACTCACATCTACAAAAAAAAATAAAAGTAACAAAAATTATGAATCTAAGAATTGAATAAGATTTATTTATAAATCTTATATTATAACAGATTCGGGATCAAAATGTATCATTAGCAATAAAGATTATTTACAGACTATTCGATGGTGAGTTGATATATGTAATTTGTCAAGTTGTATGTTAAGGTTGTATATCGGCGTGTATGTTGTGTGAAGCACCCACTGATGTGAAAGATAGCATGTTTTTGGCTACTCTGATTTGTATAATATAGTTGGGTGTTTCTAGTAGCTCTTCCAATCGTAATGGTGGCACACGAAGTGGTGTAAGTTGCACAGTTTCGGTGTAGAATGATAACAAATGAGAACCTTTGACCGGCTGTCTGGTTTGCGTTGACCCCTTTGGCATTCAAAACCAACAGCCCACATATATGAAATGTAACCGTATCTTTGTAACGTTATCAAAAGTTTGCAGCACGTTATTCAACATGGAGTGTACTCAGTGGAAGCATTATTTAGTTGCTTGGAAGTTTAAAGCAAGGACTAAAATAAAATAATGTCAATATTTTGATAAATTGTGCAGCTATCCTTGCGTGGCGTCTTGATGTTAATGTCAATATTTTGATAAATTGAGCAGCTATCCTTGTGTGGCTTCTTGAGTGCATGTTGGACTGACAATGTCTCTAAGGAATTTGTGCACACCATTCTCATCAAGGTGTCCCACACCAGCCCCCTGCATTAAAACAACATGCTTGTTAACTACATGAAGAAACATTATGGGACCTAATAGTGAACGACCATTTGAATCAGAGAATACGAACCATGAGTTGATAACCGCTCCGTCACGCACATTTGTAAGTTTCGCCATTTAAGCGTCCAACGGGAGATGGTCGCCCGATTCATCAAACTTAGTCACTGAAATTATACGAAGTGCAAGGAAATCAGCAGCTATAGTTTTTAAGAATTCCAATTCAACTTAGATAAACATCGATACATAATGTTATTACAATGTAACCTCTTGCGCATCGTGGAATAAACAAAACTAAAACTCATGAATCTTTCAAATACGTCATGCGACTTCTTTTAGGCTAACACTATGATTATTATATATATATAACTTGGTTTAGGCTCTGTAGTAAACCAGTCACCAAAAAACTAAAATATTACAGAGTCTAACATCTGAAACACAGAAAAAGCAAATGCATAATGAAAGAACATTAAACATGTCCTAAAATCATATCATTACACGATTTAGCTAAGAAGAATAACAACTACTTCAGAACATAAATTAAACTTGACAGCTAAAGCAATACAATGGTAGGGAAATCATATGCAATCCTCCACTAAATCCCAATTTTTTTTTATAAAAAAAAACTACGCTTCAAAGGAGATTGGATAGTTAGCTGTAGAGTAGATATGATCATTTAACTTCAAGATTCATAATAATGCACGTTGACACACCGGGAAGCTGGCTTCAGGAAAAAAACCTCACACCGGATTTAATGAGCAAATACAAAACAAAGATTAATATGAAACGTTAAACAATGCCACAAAAAAAAATTCACAATATCAAAGAGTTCATCTTTATACTAAAACCAAGATTCAGATGAGTTCTGATATGAGACATTGAGAGCAACAAACGATAGATAAGAACTGAGACAGTAATCTAAGCAAGTAGATATCTACACGTTTAAAACATCTACAGGTGAAATAACTCTGTTTCTGAACTAAAGGCTGAGTGAAAGAAGATACCTGAGGAGCATGTCCACTCCCATGAGCTCTCCAACACGGCTGATATTCCTGGCCTCCCTAAACCGGATCAATCGGATTTGAACAGTAGAGGAGGAGCGGCTCGCGGAGAGGAAGACCGAGACAGCGAAAAGTTAACCATAGATCAGAGAATAAGTTTACTGGTTGGTTTGAAAGGAATGAAGAATGATTCTCAAAGCAGGAGCTCTCACACGGCTAGCATTAATGGTCGCCTGCATGATGGTGGCCTGCAAAAAAAAAAAAAAAAACAACAGATATTAATAGGGATGCTGTCGGAAAAACATCTGTGATGTCTGGGTTTATAATGAGCAGAACACATACATTAACGTCGACCATCAACATATGGCTCCTCGACGGTGGAGGAGCATCGACCAGACTTGAGATCGGAAAGAAAACCTAGACATAGCCATTACCACCAAAAACGATTTAGATGTGTGTGAGAAGAAAGGGAAAGATGCTGAGAGCAGGAAGAACTTACCTCTATATATATATATCCATCTCCACCGACTCTAATCCGATAAGAGAGAATTGATGATATATCATGGGAGAGTCTTCAATTCTCTAATCAATCAATAACGGAATTCTTACTAAGAAGTGAAAGAGGAAGCGAAATCGTCGATAGGAGAGGAGGTCAGTGTTTTAGCAATGGCGGCTACTCTGTTTCTGTAAGAATAAAACCCTTATCGGGAGAGATGAGACATACAGGCCCTGGGTTGTAACAATATAGGCCCAAGCTTTAAGAATCCAGGTTCAAGAAAACTAAAACAAACGCAAGGCCCGGCCCGGCTGCACCATTACACGTGGAAGGAGAATGGAGTATTATTATCTGACGTGGCACTCTAATGAGGGAATCAACTTTCCTTTATATAAATAGATATCTTATTGTCCACCACTTTCATTATTGTTTTAAAAATGTCGAGGTTATTGATTCGGCCTATTCTACAAATGTTTAAATCGATCTAATAAGCACATTTTATATTTACAAATTCGCCATTGACTGATTCTATGGTTCAGACTTATTACATCACTGCTCATAATCTTATGGTTGGAATAAATATTCACGGACAACGGTCTCACCGTCCAGAAATGTCTCTTTGCTTGAGAAAAGAAACCAACATCTTATCGGTGAGATCTACAAATAGCTTTTAGATATTTAAAGAAGTTTAAAGGAAAAGTTATTTCTTTAAAAAATAAAGAAAAGACAAGTTTTTGTCTACACATCAATATTCCCATGCTACACCAACACTTTTTTTCTTCTAAATATCATAAATTTATTTATTCTGGATATTATTTTATGTTCTTGTTCACACTGGCCCGCAGTAAAACCAGTTAACAGTGGAACCAGCTAAAACCGGACGTGTGAAAGCTTTCACTGTGTATTTCTGACTTACACGTTGACCAATAATGCCTACAATTTCGAAAAACATTGGTTGGTGACCGGTTATTGTATACTTCCATACTGTATACAACCTGCTATTGCCAGTCACAATCAAATACATCCCCCACCCCCATTTAACAGTGACAAAATATCAAATCCTGCATTTAGTGTTCTCTTTCAACCCTAGAAACTAAAACGCTCCCTTTCTCATCCGCGATCCTCACTCTTTTTTTTTTCTCAATAACTTTTATCTTTGATTAATCTTCCATATTAGTTTTTATTTCTTCGTGTCAATCTCTGTTTTGGTGTGATTACTCTGTTTTAATTAATTTACCTGGAAAAATAATGGAGTTTACGGATATCTCGAAGACGAGTTTTCATCATCAGGCGTCGTTGCAAAGCATTTGGGATTTTGGAGAGGAAGAGAAAAATTCGTTAGGGTTTATGGAGTTACTAGGTTCTCAGCACCATTCATTCCTTTTCGAAACGCTCCAACCGCAAACGCAACCGTTTGAGAAACTGTCTTCTTCTGGTTTGACTATTCTTCAAGCCCCACCCTCAAACGCGACTGCTGATAATTATGTGACGTCAAAAGTGGAACCTCTTTGTTCGGATATAAACCCACCGCCGACACCAAACTCCTCTTCGATTTCTTCGGCGTCAAGCGAGGCTGTAAACGAAGACAAAGCCAAAAGAGAAGACGATGAGGAACATGAACAGAAGAAGAGTGATATTAATAAACAGTGAGTCTCATTTATACTATTTCCTGAATTTTTTCATATGCTTCTCTCTCTCTTCGAAAGTTAATAAATCGTAAAAGATGGTCTAGTAAGAGAAAAATGGTTTTCAGTATTTAAAATATGTGTATGAACAGGTTGAAACCAAAGAAGAATAGCCAGAAGAGGCAGAGAGAGGCAAGGGTAGCCTTCATGACGAAGAGTGAGGTTGATCATCTCGAAGATGGTTATCGCTGGAGAAAATATGGTCAGAAAGCTGTTAAAAATAGTCCTTTCCCCAGGTTAATAAATTATCCATCCTTTGATCATTTTATTTTTCTTCCTTTTATGGCTCCATGTGTAAACACACAGAAGAAGAATAAGAAATATTAAAAATACACATAACATGTATTTTTCCTTTTTTTTTGTTTTGTTTCTTATGTGTTTTGTTTGAGGACATGCATTGTGTTAGTTTGTAGGATTTAGTGTTTGATTGTTCCAAAATGACTTGTGTGTTTAATTAACACTTACTTGTTAACATTACTCCCATACTAAAACTAGCTAAAATGTTAAGCTGAAATTTATGAGGCTAATATTGTGTGATGGTGTATTTGTTTTTGCAGGAGTTACTACCGTTGCACAACGGCCTCATGTAACGTGAAGAAGAGAGTCGAGAGATCATTCCAAGATCCAAGCACAGTGGTTACAACCTACGAAGGTCAACACACACACATTAGTCCACTCACGTCTCGTCCAATTTCCTCCGGAGGCTTCTTCTTCGGATCATCAGGGGTTGCTTCGAATCTCGGTAACTTTGGGTTTCCAATGGAGAGCTCGACACTATTATATCCTCAATTCCAACAGCTTGTCCATTACAATCAACAACAGCAACAACAAGAACTGTTGCCTTGTTTTGGAGGAGTTGGCGAGTACGTTACTAGACACGCCGATGCATATGGTGATGATGAACTTGTGAAGAAGAGTCGAGGTTTGGTCAAAGATAATGGGCTTCTTCAAGATGTTGTCCCGTCTCATATGTTGAATGAAGAGTAATTATATTCCTTAATTAATGCTCTAGTATTGTAATCTATAATATTTAATCTAGGTTTTGTATAATTGTCTAAAGAAACGGATCTTTCGTTCCCATTAGGGAGCATGAGGATCTTTAAAACTGAAGGTAATGTTATGTACACTGATGCTTTTCAGCGATGAAACCGTAGAATAACTTGGGCAAGAAATTTCTAATTTACTGCAAATTATATAATAACAAAAAAATATTTTTACGTATAGTTGATTGGTTTCACTAGCATAGTTAACATGAATAGCAATCAGTAACCATTTTTGTATAATATGATTCTCACACTTTTAATTAATCGCCTAATTTTTTTGTCGTTATGTGTATTAACCTTTTCATCCGGAGAGTCTATAATATATTAACATGGGTGTTGCTGCCCTTGCATGTACTCTATGTCTCTATGTTAATTTGAAAAAGAACTCTATGTTCTACTGTTATTAGCTAGGTTTAGTAGATTCTGAATCCTTTAAAAGTAAAATCGAAATTCGCGGTTCTAATGCGTTCTAGGGTTTCAGGTTACTCTAACACTACACAAAGACAGGGGGGTCAATTAATGTTTTAGGATTTTTATTCATTGTCTCGTTTCATTTTTTTTTGTCTTGGAATCTGTATAATTAACTTTCACTTGAGGAAGAAAACTAAAGAGGAAGTTAATGCAAAGTTGGAAGCATAAACTCAACTACTTCTACCTACTAATTTCTGCGTTTTGATCGACGTTCCGAGTTTTTTTTTTTTTTTTCTGTTTTTATTTACCGCTTTTGTTGGTCTTGCAGTTTCATGATTGCACCGTGGTGAAGAAGAAAAGGACGTGTGCACCGTGTTATGTCGTTTGCTATTTTCATTTACTACCTTTTTAACATTTTCATATCCAAAACGAATATAAAAGAGAATTACAATCTTCACTGCTGTTTCACAACCATCAAAGCAATGAAATGTGATTAAGAGTACTCTATAGTTATCTTCTAGTTGATTTTAAACGTGCTTAAACCAACTCCAAGAAAACTACCACCACACCAAATTTGATATAGTTTTATCTCTAATAAAATATTAAAAATGACACCACTTTACAGAATTTGATATTTAATAAACGGTGTTACATCAAAATCAATAATATATTTTATTTAATTTTATCACAATTATTCTTATTGATAATTTTAATTTACTTTTAAAATAAATATACCATACTAATTTTTTTTTTTTTTTTTTTTCAATCTGTTAAACCATTTATTATGTACTTTTTATTCTTTTTATATGGGATTTGGTCGGTTGAACTTCGGTTCGCAGAAAACCCGAATTATTAAAAGAAATTACATCAAGGAAAAAACATAAACCCACGTTGAACCGTGGATCCAATGCTGAAACATAGCAATAAGTCAATAAAAATAGAAGTTTGTGTTGTCCCCTAAGTGCTTAGACTTGTTGGAAAAAGGTAGAAAACCAAATCCCACAAGGAAATACACAAAAAAAGTGAAAAGCAGAGAAACAAGTTACCATGCAAATTCAACTTTTTCTTCTTCGTCTATTTGTTACTTTTGCAGCCATGCATGTGTGTGTGACAGTGTGAGTGAGAAAATGTTCAAAAGAAAACACGAAGGAAGCAAGAAAAGAAAACAATCTTATGAGGTAAACACTACTTTTTGTCTTTTTGTCTAGTGAGTGCATAGCAACGCCATTGGCTTTAGCGTGTCTGTATTGACCTTTACGGTGAGTGATAATCCCAAACCGAAGGTACACAATCATTGTCCGAAACAAGGCCACGACTGCAACCGAAAGCAAAAGTACTTCAGCTCATGATGGTTTAAAAGTGAATGACATAAAAGACAAACTTAAAGAGATCCATTGGTTTTGGTTACATTAAGGAAGCAACAACTTACAACCTTTGCTCATTACTCATTAGTAAGATTCGTAACATGAATATTGGGATTCAATATAGTAAATGAAACTGAAGGTGTACCAATCCGGAGAGTGGGTTTTGTCTTTTTGAATCGGGTACAAGTTTATTGATCATCTAGGCTTATTGTTTGTGAGTTTTTTTTTTCCTTTTTTTTGCAAAATAGTTAAGGCCGAAATCCGTAGTCTTCTTATACCAGAGACAAGAGCCAGTTGTTTGGGTTCTTAAGTGATCCATTCCATTTTAATTCCCCTTATGAAGATTTTTATTCACGTAAAATAGATCAGAACAAGTAAAGTATCCACGAAAATAAATATCTAGAGTCATAGACTTTATTTTTACTTAGAAAAAAACTAACAGTTATGGTGTATATATATGGCCATACAACATAAAATAAGAATTTAAGGAAAGCATATATAGTGGTTGTTTTTTGGTTATATATATCGTAATTATTTGTGTTTCAAAAAAAAAAAATGTATCGTAATTATTTATTAGTAGCACACATATATCGGAACAACGTCAGCTCCTCTTTGACGCCAATTTTCGGTACATTTCTTCGATCTCTACCTACATATAATGGAACGTTAACGTATTTAATGGTTGCAAACATGTAGCTTCAGCAATACTAATTTACAATAAGACGATATTGAAACCTGATAGAATTTGAGAAGATTTTTCCTCTGGTTCTTGAGCGTCGCAGTCACTAAGCCTCTATCAATGTCGAAAGGTTTTGTCTCCACCGTCACCGCTTTAATGTACTCAAACTTGCTTAGCTAATATTATCAAGTTTTCACATCCACAAAATAACATTATATAATACTAGTTATTATTTAGAGAAATCTCTAGAAGAGTTATGGTTTTAGACAAAATCATACAAACCTTGTTCTTCTCTGCCGTGGACTTCAGTTCTGAGAGGATGTGTTCTTGTAGCTCCGAGAGAGAACATAGTTCTTCGAATGGTTTAGTAAATCCCACGTCTTTAGCCCACCGGTTCAAGGCTTCTGGATTTGGAACAATCACGGCTACAAGCATAGATTTTAAGCTGTCTCCATAAACCCATATCTGAGAATAATTTACCGACCGAAATATTAATTGAAGAAACCCCTAAACAATGCTTGCTGACCAAGAAAGAGCTGAAAAACTCACATCCTGGACAACAGGGTTTTGTCCGTAGATGCTTTCCAAATGCTCGAGAGCAACATATTCTCCTTGAGAGAGTTTGATCAGATTCTTCTTACGGTCAATGATTCTGAGTACTCCGTTTGGAAGAATCTCACCTATATCTCCTGTTGATAGAACAACACCAAGAACATTTCAGAATCCAAAAATCAAAACAATCGAAATCTTAACTTTTTAAACTAATCACCTGTATGGAACCATCCATCTTTCATGACTTCGTTAGTGAGTTCAGGGTTCTTGTAATACCCAGAAAACAAACACTTTCCTCTTATACAGATCTCGCCTGCTGGAGTTTCACCTAGTGGGTCATAGCCCATTTCTGGCACCTCTTCAAGTCTTATCTCATTGTAAACTGCCGGAATACCAACCGTCCCTAGCATACACATCTCGTCCGGATAGCCTAATGTCGTTCCTCCAAGTGTCTCTGTTAGACCTAATGCAAACATTCATAGCAACATTTTTTTCCCTTGTGGATCAGGAAATAATAATAAACTATATAGTTCCAGATGTTATGTATATACCATAGCCTTGGATGACAAAGCAACAAGAAGTAACTCTCAAGAACTCTTCGATCTCAGGACTCAGTGGTGCTCCACCAGATACTAGTAACCGGACTCGACCGCCTAATTGATTTCTTATCTTTCATCCAAGAAAACAAAAGTCAAATGTTGGCTTCAGGCAAATTTCAAAGAAGAAACAACAAAGATCAAAGAAGAAACATTCCCAAACATGAAGCAAAAACAATTATTGTATTGTTTTTAACCTTTCTGAAAGCAATGAAGTCAGCCATTGGCGAAGCTTTACTGTGAGAGTACCCATGATTCATCCACGCAAGTTTACTGCATCAAAATATTAAATTACTGCGAGATGCATGAAGAATTTTTTTTTCACTAAAACTAACACGCTTTTAAGTTTTCCTTGTGGCAATATAACTTATAGTTTTTAACTACAGAAGTAGTACATTCTTTGTACATGTTTTTTTTTAATCCAACATATCACCAATATGCAAAAGTATAGTAATTTTTGTGTTTTAGTGAAATAATTATTTTGTTTAACGCAAGTTTTAAGAATATGTTTATTTGTCAAGGAATCTTACTATTTATAAAGAGCATTGAAGATGAGTCTCCTTCTTGGGTTAAGCTCCTGAAGAGCCTTCTGGATCCCTTCATAGATCCTCTCGAAGACTCTTGGAACTCCAGCTATAAAAGTAGGTTTGAGTTCTTGAATATCATCGTGTAATGCATTCAAATCCTAATACCAAACAAATCAACATAAGCCTTTTTCTTTCCAAAATTTGATGTTGGTTTATGAAGCTTAAAATATTAACATACTCCATGGTAATAGCCAACAGAAGCGCCATTTCGAAAGAAGTATTCCTCATTCGCACGGTCAAGAATATGGGCCAACGGCAAGAACGAGATATACACATCGTTAGGTGTCATCTGACAATAGGATGTCGTTTTAAGCCCGAGAAAAAAAAGGAGATAAGTCAAAAAGAAAACAAATGATTAAGCGAGATAACTATTTGTATAACCTAATTGTGGTTTAAACACTAGGTTGATCAGCACAAAAAGGAAAACATGTTTTTTTTGCGTGTCTTTAAAATGAATGAGAGTGACCTTGTCTTCAAACTGGTCCATGCAGAGATCAATCCCAATAACGCAAGTCGCGGCAGCTTCGTGTGTCAAAACCACACCTTTAGGTTCACCGCTAGTGCCGCTCGTGTACATTATGGTGCACACGTTAGACGGCTTAGGCGGGTTTGTCTCTTCCGGCTTCTCTCTTCCCTGGTCAAATAGTCAACATAATATGTTCTATCATATATATACCAAACATTTTGAGTTTGGACACTTAAGTCATTTAATTATATGATTAGAAAGCAGTTAATGTATAGTTTCATTAAGCTGGTTTAACATGTGCGTGTCATTAAAATACCTAAATAAGTCCGATATATTGTCATAAAGCTGTAATAACGTAATATAATAAGTATGTATCAAATTAGATAAAGAGACGAACCATAAGAAGAAAATCGAGCCACGGGTATGCTTCCACTCCAATTTTTGAAGCCTTCAGGCTATCTTCTTCGCTCACATTTGTGAAGGAAACTATAGCTTTAAGTCGTTTTGCACTTTTGCATTCCGGATCAAGCAGCTAAATTATAACAGCATACAAAAAGAGAGGTTAACGATATAATTAAATATATTTTCAAAGCTATAGAAAAACTGATGAAACTAATCTCAAAGATCTTAACTCCTTTAATCTTGGTATTCTGGACGAACACAAAATCAATTTCCGCGTGATTAACGATATAATCAACTGCTCCAGCACCTAAAGAATATCGGACGCTATTGAGTATTTGAGTCACGTAAGCATACACGATCACAAGTAAATACAGTTTAACTTACCTAATGTATCATATAGAGGTACAGAGATTAGAGTGTGAGCTGCACAAGCCTATATATTTTTACAAAGATATGTATATATGTATTGTTAACTTTACTTGAAAATTTGGATAGATAAGTAAACCAGAGAAGTATTTATCAAAAACGACAAGGACCTCCATTGCTATGATCCACTGAGGACAATTAGCTCCATAGATTCCCACTCGACAACCCTATATGTATGCATATAACATTATGTTTCGGTATAATGTAAAATATAACAGTGAGATGTTTTTGAAAAACCGTGTAGGTAAAGTTTTTACGGGTTCAGCTCCGGCGGCTCGTAGCGCAGAGCCAATCTGCAGAACTTCTTCGTATACTTCTTTGTACGTTTTCCACATATACGGTCCAACCTAACCAAAATGTACGTTTACAATTATATTCCAAGAAAAACACATTTAATTAAACTAAAATAAAAACTTAGCTATATTATCATGGACTTTTATAATAAAAATTTTCAGGAAATTTACCTTCTCATCGACAATTGGACGCCATCCAAGCATCTTATTATCAGGGAATTTATCCACTGATTTACTAATAGAAAAAAAAAAGAGATTTACTAATAATAACTACAAAGAAACTTAGCAAAAATTCATTTAAAAAAAAAACTATAAAGAAACTATAAGCTGGGTGTGTCATGTATGGTGTTTTAAGAAAATTAAACCTGAAAATGTCCCAAGTAGTGGTAATATCTGAATTACAAGGAGGAAAACCATTCTCGGACAAAAGATTCCGGTACACCGGACCTACGGATGGCTTTCCATCTTCCCCTTTCACTCCTTCTTCAACCTTTGCCGCGAAAGACTTCATTCTCTCTTACTTTTTTGTTTGAAGAGGAGTACTAGCCAAATATATATTGCAGTTTTTTTTTGTAAATTTAAATGATTATTGACAACTATCTGCTTACGTATTCCGTACTTTAGTGACAACACTCTGGTTACGTATTCTGTACTTAAACTATATAGTCGTCACATTAACATGTGCCATTAATTGACTAAATTTCTCTTCACTACACGCATTGTTTTATTTATTATGTAGTCCTATTTTTTTCCAACAACAGTGGACGTATCAGCTCAGACAACCTACTGAAATTTCACGGACAGTAGTAAATTTAATCAGTGATCCACAACGTTTTTAAACAACAAATAAGTATATAACATAATTACGTTGGAGATGTAGTTTGATGGAAACAACTAGATACTTAGGAGCTACGTACATTAAAGGAAGAACGGGAAAAAAAAATACTAATAATTATGATGCATGTGATCATTCAACGTAGATTAGAAATACAACATTACAGAGAGCCATAAGGGTCATTTTGATCAATTATTGATACATATATAACATAATCATCAATAACAGGACGCACACATCATCGCAATACTTTCAGATTTTCTTTGATGCCAATTTTCGGTACATCTCGTCGACTTGTACCTGTATAGTGAAACGTTAGTGGACTGAACTAGTCTATGGAAATTTGTCTAAGAAAATTAAGGGGAAACAATGATAATTAATTAAAACCTGATAATACTTGAGAAGATTGTTCCTCTTATTCTTGAGCGTCGCAGTTACTAAGTCCCTCTCTAAGTCGAAAGGTTTTGTCTCCACCGTCACTGCTTTTATGTACTCAAACCTTTTTAGCTGTAGTATTTTATTTGTTCAAATCCACGAATAAATGTTAGTATTTATTTATTTTTATGGAAGAACTTTGACTGACACAAAAAAAAATCAAAACAATTTAAACAAACCTTGTTCTTCTCTGCAGTGAACTTCAGTTCCAAAAGGATGTGTTCTTGCAACTCCGAGAGAGAACAGAGTTCTTCGAATGTTTTATTAAATCCGAGATCTTTAGCCCACCGGTTCACGATTTCAGGGTTTGGAACAATCACGGCGACAAGCGTTGATTTGAAGCTGTCTCCATAAACCCATATCTGAAAAAACATACACACAACAATCGGATGAAACTGAAGAGAAAGAAACCCTAAAATGGTGTGCTTACTTACTTCACAAGAAATCGTGATTCAGAGGTGAGAACTTACATCTTGGACTACAGAGTTTTGCCCGTAGATGCTTTCCAAGTTCTCAAGAGCAACGTACTCTCCTTGAGAAAGTTTAATCAAATTCTTTTTACGATCAATTATTTTGAGTACTCCATTTGGATGAATCTCACCTATATCTCCTGTAAAAATTATATCAACACACATATAAGGACCAACCAAGATACCAGAATCAGAACATTTTACTTTCTTTTTCAATCATTCACTCACCTGTATGGAACCATCCGTCTTTCAATACTTCATCAGTAAGCTCAGGGTTCTTGTAATAACCAGAAAACAAACATTTTCCTCTTATACAGATCTCGCCTGCCGGATTTTCTCCAAGTGGGTTGTAGCCCATTTCAGCCACCTCCTCAAGCCGTATCTCGTTGTAAACCGCTGGTACACCGACTGTCCCTAGCATACACATCTCATTCGGTATACACAAAGCCGTTCCTCCAAGAGTCTCCGTCAGACCTGATCCAAATAACCACATCAACATTGACTTTCCTTGGGCAGCACGAAACATATAGAAGAAATCCTAGAATGCTTTGGAGATGTAATATATATATATATATATATATATACCATATCCTTGGAGGACAAAGCAACAACAAGTAACTCTCAAGAACTCTTCAATCTCAGGGCTCAAAGGTGCTCCTCCAGATATTAGCAACCGAATTTTACCTCCCAATTTGTCTCTAATCTATAATAAAATTCCAAAACCACGGGAAGTATGTTTATGTAATGACTACAAGCTAAACAAGAACTATTATGTGAACTGTTTTTAACCTTTCTGAAAGCAATTAAATCAGCCATGGGTGAAGCTTTCTTATGCGAATATCCACGATTCAACCATGAGAGTTTGCTGCATCATCATTTAGTTTTGCAATACTACATCATTAAAGAACATAAATGTAATTGAAAAAACAAAGAAATTAACGATGAAGTTGGTTACTGTTTGTAGAGAGCACTGAAGATAAATCTTCTTCTAGGGTTAAGTTCCTGAAGAGCCTTTTGAATACCCTCGTGGATTCTCTCAAACACTCTTGGAACTCCAGCTATATAAGTTGGTTTCAATTCTTGAATGTCATCACGTAACACATTCAAATCCTACACAAAACACATCAACATATATATTCAGTTTTGATGAATGTTATTGTGTCCTAAGAGATTAATATACCCCATGGTAGTAGCCAACAGAAGCCCCTTTGCGAAAGAAGTATTCCTCGTTCATACGGTCAAGAATATGAGCCAACGGCAAGAAGGACAGATACACATCTTCATGTGTCATCTGCTTGTATTCAAGCCACCAAAAAAATACAAAGAATTTTGTCAAAACTAAACAAAAGATTATGCAAAGCGACGACGTTTAATGGTAAATAATTAAAATTTCAGATTTTTTTCACTTGGTGTGGAAGTAAAGAGTTTAGGTTCAGGTTTACCCACCAAAGGGTTCTTTTCAAAAAGAATATATATATATATATATATATATATATATATATATATATATATATATATATATATTACCCAGTGGGTATTATATAATACCCACCACAAACGTACGTATGTGTGTATTAACTTTTTTTTTTTTTTTGTTAGAGATGATTCATAGTTACCTTGTCTTCGAACTGGTCCATGAAGAGATCCACTCCAACAACGAAAGTCGCCACCGCTTCGTGAGTCAAAACCACACCTTTAGGGTCACCACTCGTGCCGCTCGTGTACATTATGGTGCATGTGTTAAATGGTTTAGGTGGACTAATCTCTTCCGGTTTCTCACGTCCCTGGTCAAAGATCAAATAGTCAACAAATATATTTATATTTGAATGTATTTGTGTAGGCACCTAACTCCTAGGGCTGGGCATTTTATCCGTAATATTTGATTCGATCCGTTATTCGTTTCGATTCGATCCGAAAATTCCGGATATCCGTAAACTTTCGAATCAAAGCAAATACTAAAATTCAATATCCGTTAAAATCGAAGCAAATCACAAATATTAAAATTTTGAAAAGCGGATATCCGATCCGATCCGTAAATATATAAATATATGTATATTTTGATTATATTTAAAATTTAATTGTATAAAATTATAAAATTATTATTTTAGCACATGATTTTGAACAATTCTATTCAAATTATTACTTATATAAAAGTATTACATAAAAAGAGATAAAATATTTTTGACAATTATATTTCTTTCTTAAATTTTGTGTTATTATAATTGTAACTTAAACTTTAAAAAATTACAAAATCTATAAATTCACTAGTTATTTTAAGTTTTATTTTATATATCATGCAAAAAATATTTTTGCAAAGCAAATTTGTATCAAAATCTTAAGATTATTTGTACTAATTAAAATGGATGAGATATCCGTAAATATTCGTAAATATCCGCAAATATCTATTTATTTTCCGGATATCCGTTTTTCCGGATATCCGTATTTTTTCGAAGCAAAGCAAATACCAAAANGTACTAATTAAAATGGATGAGATATCCGTAAATATTCGTAAATATCCGCAAATATCTATTTATTTTCCGGATATCCGTTTTTCCGGATATCCGTATTTTTTCGAAGCAAAGCAAATACCAAAATTAGATATCCGTAACATTCGAAGCAAATCACAAATACCTTAAAAAACCCGGATATCCGATCCGTGCCCACCCCTACTAACTCCGTTTTTTGGTCAATAGGCACCTAACTCATTTAATTCCATGCATATATAGCATCATGTCATTAAATATCTCAAAGAATGGTCCAACCATAATATAAATATAACGTAAAGATAATACATTTTACTACTATTAAGAAATTAAGACGAGAGACCAACCATATGAAGAAACTCGGGCCAAGAGTACGTTTTGACTCCGATTTCTGAAGCCTTGAGGCTATCTTCTTCGCTCACATTAGTGAAGGAAACTATAGCTTTTAGACGTTTAGCACATATGGAATCTGGCTCAAGCATCTGAATGTCAATAACATAAGAATAACAACAAGTTTAATAGATCTATATTTCTCAAATGTATAAATTTAACTATTAGTATATTTGTTTCAAAAAGCCTAACCCCTTTAATCTTGGTGTCTTGGACGAATACAAAATCGATTTCCGCGTGATCAACGATATAATCCACGGCTCCAGAACCTAATGAACAAATGTTTTTGTTTGATTCACGTGTTATTAGGACTGAGTCGCAAAAGTTTGTATGGTCACAAGAAAGCAAAATTTAACCTACCCAGTGTATCATAGAGGGGTACACATATTAGAGTGTGAGCTGCACAAGCCTACATATTTTCACAAAGTTGAGCATGTATTTATGGGGTAAGCAATATTTTTATATACGTACATATACAAAAATATATAAGATATTTTGAGAAATTGAAAGAGATGGACCTCCATTGCTATGATCCACTGAGGACAATTAATTCCATAGATTCCCACTCGACACCCCTACATATATGCATAGACCAAATTATTTCAATACATCAGTTATTCTCCAAAGAAGATTAAGTAAAGTATAATGAATTTAATCTATGAGGACGAGGTATATAGATATATAAATTTATTTACTTACAGGCTCAGCTCCGAGAGCACGCAATGCAGAGCCAATTTGTAGAACTTCTTCATATACTTCTTTGTACGTTTTCCAGATATACGGCCCAACCTAATTAATCCGTAAAAATATACGTATAAAACAGTATGTAGACACAAAAAGTATGTACACATAACTTTTAATCAAGTATTTTGTTGTAGTATAGATTTTAATAATTCACCTTCTTATCTACGATTGTACGCCATCCAAGCATCTTGTTGTCAGGGAATTTCTCCACAGATTTACTAACAAACCCCAAAAGAAGATTATTAACAATAATTATAGACAAAAGGTGATAATTATCTTGTGAGAAAATATAAATTTACGACATACCAGAATATGTCCCAAGCAGTGGTGATATCAGAATCCATTGGAGGAAAACCTTTTTCCGACAAAAGATTCCGGTACACAGGACCTACCGACGGCTTCCCGTTTTCCCCTTTGACTCCTTCTTCCACTTTTGCCGCGAAAGACTTCATTCTCTGAAGACAGTAGAAGCTATTTTTCTTGATGTAAAAGAAATGGAATAGACAGAATAACCATAAATATACGATAAGATGGATCCAACCGGCGTAGGTAATATATGAAAATATAACACTGCCCTGATTAATAAATGGTACAAAATGTGAAATAGAATTTTAAAAATCACTAAAGAAAATAATTTGGTTTCAAAATGAGGGAGGATGTTGTATTATAATCGTTGTTCGAGCGTTTAACAAAAAAAAAGAAAAAGAAAAATAATCGTTGTTCGAGAACAGCAATAAAAGTTTCATGAATTAGTCTGCTTGCGTAGTCCGTACTTTTTGGTTATATCTACATATAAATTACATTAAAAAGTTTATATTATAATAGTTATAAATATAATTGTTAGAGTGTGTATTTAATGTCACCAGTTTGGTCCACCTAACCACCTAACCATACTGACTACAAACCCAAAGTTTATGCATGACACTAATTTGGTTTCCATATTTTGTGATTTTATAAAGAGTTGTATCAACTTTTCAGACAAAAGAATAATGATTAAATTACATGTACTTTAGTTTCAAAGGAAGTACGAGCCGAGTGTCGATTAGTTTCACCAATTATTTGAACTAAAATTATAACAAAACAAATTCACTAAGTCATGCCCAAAACGTGAACGCATAGATAACCCTGGCTTCATTCTCTTTATCCTTCTTTTCGCTATCTTCTCTAATTTATGAATATGAAAAGATCTGGGGAAAATCAATAAGTATGAAAGTGATGTATGTGATGTAGTTGTAACGCTCTCCAACCAATGTATGTATCTTCATACTTAAACACTTAAGATCTTCCCTTATCTCTTATTATATCAGGGTAAACATAGAAATATCGATTTTAGTCCATCTCTCCTTCTAACGTTCAAAACGAAATACTAGAGAAACCTTTTTTTATCTAATATAAGTATATAACAAGCAAAACTAACGTGTTGCAAATAAACAAAGCAAAACGAAATAAACAGAACATAAAACCAATAGAGACTAAAGCAAAGGTTATGCAACCGACCTTAGCTTAGTTGGTACAACAGGTCGAATTGTGTTCTTCCCCAGTTGGAAGCTTTGTTTATGAATTTTTAGAAAAGATCAGAGAGAAAGAATAAATAAGTTGAGGAGCTGAGAAATGGTTGTTTGTTTATATAATAGTTTAGGAGTTGGTTGAACTGGCGAGGCCTACCTCTTTCATTTTAATATATGTATTATTAATCTTTCGATGTGTTGATAATAAAAGAAGAGAAAAAAGTGAACCAAAACAAAATTGACTGCTCCAATCCAACCAGTAGTAGATTTCATTAATTGATTCTTGTTCTGTATAGCAATCGTGTTGTTCGCCGAAAGTTGATTTTTCCATAAATTTGCAACTAGTGTTTTCCATTAATTGACATTGCGTCTTTTATAAACACACTTCTTTATGATTTTATAAAGCATATCACCATGTGGAAATGGATCAAACTGTAAGATACGTCGAGTAATAGAGTCTCTTACCACTTGTGCAAGATACGTCGAGTAATAGAGCCTCTTACTACGTGTGCAACATGCATCATACTCTTGAGAATCGATTTGGAAAAACAGTGTTTCAGCGTTTTATAAAACGATTTGTTACGAAAGCTTTTTTGACATTTTCTCAAAGTAAAACGTTTTATGGTTCGTTTCGTAAAGTTGTTTTGTATATACTATTGCATTTACCGTACGTCACGTGTTTACTATCCAGACGCTTCTGCAGGTGTTTTTTTTTTTGAACGAATTGCAGATATAGTTATACAATACAATGATGACTTAGTAAAAAACAGACCATGCATGATCTCTATTCTTCGATTACCATGTCGAAACCGTTAATTAATCGATCTATTCGGTATCAAAAGCCGTAAGGACCTTGACAAAGAAGACCACTAATCTATTTATTATTTGGTTTTCTATATCTGTAGAATCTCAAAGCTTGTATTATAAAGTAAGAAGTCGTTTATCATTGAAATTGAGGGTATCAATCATGCGATACTTTTCACTTCATAAGATTTTTTTTTCTTTTTCTCTTGTACATAATATCAATGCATTCACATTTATTTGTTTGGGTCTACATATTTAATGAAACACAACTGAAAGAGTTTCAAAAAAAAAAAAAAAAAAAAAAAAAAAACACAACTGAAAAGTATCACCGAAATTTCTGATAGCTTTCAATATGCATGTTAATATGTATTAGAATAAGGATTAGAACAAGCGAGCCAAGTCCAAATCATATAAGTTATTTATGAACTAAACCTTTTAAGAATATTAATTCTTATAAAAAGATGTTTCTGCGAGCAATTTATTATTTAAAGTGACTAAAATATAGTATGTTATGAAGGGTTGAAGTTATAATAACTGGGAATGCTTATCATTATTATTCCAAGTACCGGTCAATTACAAATGATTAAATTTCAACTTTTCGTTTGATAGATTACGAAATAATTTTCAACTTTTTGTTTGTCAACTCAGGTTTCTAATTATTGTTGGTTCCAACTTCTAACTGTTTAATTTTAGCCTAAGTCAGGAAAAAAATTCAATAAAGACTGGCCAGTATGTTGAAATTAGCAAATTGGTCATAAAGTCAAGAAAGTGAAGGGATATTTTTAAATAATTTTGTTAGATTGTTTTTTTTCTTCATAAACCTATGAGTGGCAAATATTTGTTGCTAGTTCTGTACTAGACGCAAAATAATTTAGATAGTTTATGTCTAGTGAGTCGAGAAATTTATTTACATATGGAAACAAATTATTGTACTCTGTAAGCTCTCGTTTATTTCCAAATAGAAGTAGGTCGGAAGACATTAAGAACAATACCTAATAAAGATAAGAAAAGTAACACTCATTAAATATCTTCAACCTTCAATACAGACGACCATTAATATAACAAAATAAATAAATATGGCTGGATTTTAATATGTTGAATTAAATTCTCGCAGAATATATGAGAAATAATAATTATATAAATGTAAATATGTAATGCGTGGACAATAGAAGACCGTTCGCATTAATATTGTCACAGACTCACAGTTGCAAGGCTCAATGAACAACTGAATTAAAAACGAATTGAAGCTCTTCTGCAAATTGCCATAGCCAAACTAAATAATTGGTGTCTCGACGGCAAATATAAATTCGTCATGTAGTAACCAATACGAGAAGGGTATCTAAAGAAGATCCAGCTGTACCTTCTAATTCACTCTTCCATAACTCTCTAATTCACTCCGAGGCTTAGCTTCCATCCTTTTTTTTTTGGTATCTTCAAATATCACATTTGTTATCTTATCTCCATATTCAAACTCAAAACTCATTTATGATTATGATACTGAGTTTTTATTTTGAAATTCTAATTTGCCAAATGATGAAAAAACATATAGTTTCAGCAGTTGCACAGCTAAATTTATATTATTTAGCTTAATAAACCACAATTCAACCACCTAATAAATAGATGATTACCAAAAACTTCATTACCCTTAGCATTTCATAATTACCAAAACAAAACTAAACAAGTAAGTCTTAGTTAAACTAAACTTGTTATCTACCACAACCAAACGCCCTTTTAAAATTTACATCTAGTCCACTTTTCATTTGCAAAACAGAGCTTTTAGAACTCATAATCAGTCTTTTTTTTTTGTTTTAGGTTTCTAACTTCAAGTTGACATGAAAATACCACCATGAAGCTGACACGCCCGTCCCAAAATCCACATCTTGAATCTCTTAGTCAAGATCACTGTATCTCTGAAGCATCCTTCTTCTTCTTTTTTAAGACTGCTTTTTGGCTCTGCAGCTCGAGAATATTGCGCTTAACAGCTTTCATATCTTGTTCAAGTTTTTGCATTTTGCTAACTTCCTTTTTCATTTCTTTCGCGTTATCTTTTAGTTTATCATCTGTATTCACTTGTTTTTCTACGAGAGAGAACAACATGTTGATCCGAGCAATAGGCATTGTAACATCAAAACCATACTTGTCAAGCTCGGAAAAGCAGTCTTTGAGTCCCTCAAGTGTGCTTTTAGGAGTGTGAGGTTGCAGATTTTTTACTCTCTCAAACAAACTGGAAAAGTTAACCATCTCACCCACAGCCAACCCTTCACGGAACTCTTCTCTTGTCTCAAGCAATGGGATGAAATGAGGACTCTGCTTTGCTGTTTTATAGACCTCCATTGATTCAAGCGCTTTCCAAATAGGTGAGCGTTTTGCAAAAGGCAGAACCATTGTTGTTTCTTCACTTGCACGAGTTTCATCATGGGATAGCTCTGCTGGATAGATCAAAACGCATAAACAACATAATGAGAAAGTAAAATAAACTTTTCTTTAGCATATATTGTTTCAAAGGGTACTTAAATCTAATAAGCTAATGTAATGGAGCAATTTTAATACAGAAAAAGAAGTAACTTACTCAATTTATCAGAACCATTAGATGATTTTACTCCAAGGATCCAAGCAGAGAGGGTCTGATCATAGTCCTCATCTACGAATATATTGTTATTTGTATCAGCCATCAGAGCCTCTGAACCATTAGATGATTTTCGTCCAAGGATCCAAGCAGCGAGAGTCTGATCATAATCATCGGTGTCACTTGTACCAGCAACCTGAGCCTCTGAACCAATGAAAGTAAGCCTCAAGTATAAGTTACTCAAATATATGATAAGGGTTTTCAGTAAAAAGAAACATAATACAACAATTAAATATACGGATACATGCCACATACTAGTCTTTTCAAGGTTTGAGTTGTGTCTTTGCTTTCGTTTTCTTTTCCTTTTATGACTATTTTCTTTGCTATATTGCTCTTCAGACACCTTGCATCAACAAAAATAAAAACCGGCTCTCAGCAAACAATAAAAAGACCAAAACGTTGACATGCAAAGAAAGAAATGGTTACCTTGTTTTGAGATCGGACCCATTTGGAGCCGGTCCAATCAAAATGAGGTCTCAGTTGCTTTTTTTGGAACTGGATTGTGTCTGGTGGAGAATCGAAGTAAACCAAGAATTTATCATCATCATCCTCCTGCTCCATCTTCTTTATGATGACACCTTTCCACCATCCATCGTTGTGATCAGCGTCCACCACTGATCCTTCATCAAGAACTATGCCTTCGTTCAGATCATCAGGTGGAACCGGCCTTATGAGTCTTTGTTCTACGGTTTCCGTGAAAGGAGTTGAACAGTCTTCTTCGAGCAAAGTAGTGTAACGTACTCTGAGCTTTTTGCGTCCCGATCTTGTCGGTGTTTCCTCGAGTATAGCTCTGTACCAAGCACCTTTGAATCCTTCCTCTTCACAACAGACTTCTACTTCACACTCTTTGGCTATGGACATGTTTTCTTAGGAAAAAAAAAAAGAAAAAGAAAACCCACTTCTCGCTTGTTCTCCTGAAACCTTATTAGAGACGACGAAGTGAAGAAAAGGAAATTTCTCGAACTACTTAGTGGAAGAAGACGAGAGATCCTTTCTTTCATTTTGTGGAAGAATTTTTGTTTTCCTTTTTTTTCTTCTAATTTTAGTTTTTGTTTTCGCGCTTAAAATTATTGTAAGCCCAAACTAAACTATTGGGCCTTAAAGTAAACGAGCTCCATGACTTATATTTTGAATAATATTTACAAAACACATCATTTCCATATTTTCAAACTATTTAATAATTCGATTGTAAAACTTTATGATAATTCGCAGCAATGTTTTTAAATTAATTTAATCTTAAACTAGCTCCAATTTTATAGATGATCTTATAACATGCCATCAGCAAAGATATTGTAAAAAACCACAAGATAGAAAATATAGATTGATATTTAACCTCCATAGCATCATCGACATGCATAAGATCTACAAAAGGTCGACAGTTTCTGGTTATTTGACATGACAATCTCAGACAACTTTTTTTTTTTACTTCATCTACTACTCTTCATTTACTAAAACATAGCTACTTCATAGTTTTTTCTTTTCAACTCCTTACCATGGAGCCATTGCAGTGTTAAGAAACTCAAGTTCCACATCTTCTATCTCTTGCCCTATCCTCTCCCCACTTGCTTTCATTTCAACTACCCTCTTATCAGCTGCCTCTTTCTCCTCTTTTGCAACCTCTTCTCTGCGTTTCAG